TTAACTTGGCCTGCACTTTTCTTTTCCATCCGCTCGTTTCACTTCGCGCCTGACGGGGCAGCTCGACCGCTTGACCGGTCTCTTCACTCGTTCACCACTGCCCTGCAGTCTTTCTCTACGCGCTTACTCTATTCTCGTTGCTTTTTCCTCCTCTTCAACTCGCCTCCCTTTGCCTCTTCACCCATCCTTATCAACTATCGTCCGCCCGCCCGCCCCTGAAATCAGTCCTCGACTGCGTCTTTCCATTCTACACTCACCGACCAATGTCCAGCGGGAACTGGGATCTATCATCTCGTGGCCATGGTCACAGGAAATGGAGACTTTCGATATCCGCCCCTTGCAGGCGCGCATGATATCCCCAGCCGACGCAGGATCCCGAACCCTCCCCGCCTAGATCCGTTGAGACTTAATCCTCCCTTTCCACGCCCCTCGACCGCCGACGGCGTTCGCCCTCCTCCCTCTCAGCGCCCCCCGTGCCTTCCCCGCGACTGCACCCTGCACAGGTGGCTGCTGCCGATCCATCATGGCGCTCCCCTTCGCCTCAACCCAGAGATGATGACTATTTCGTCCCCTGCAAGCCCGCCCTCCGTACGCCAACATTCCCAGTATCACCAGGTCATCGTCCGGGATATCCTTCCAGAGAGACTGAATTCGAACGCCCACCGCCCCGGAAGCTTCCGCCAGGCGCACCAGGATTGCGCATCTCCATGTCTACCTCCAAATTGCACAATCGACGCCAACGGCCCCCTCGGTCACGAGAACGGTACCCAGATGATGCGTATGGATTGGCATTGCCGCGCGTCGCGCCTCCGGGGAGCTATGCAGACGCACATGGAGATGATGCACTGCGATCTAGTGTCAACTCCGCCATGACATCGCGATCCAGCATCGAGCAAGCCAGCGGAACTGAGCGCAGTAGTGTTCTCACCAAGAGTAGTTCGATTACCGACCTATCTCCTGACACGCCCGATGGACCTTGTGAAAAGGATGGGGGCATGAGTGTGGAAGATGCCATATCCATGTACCTCGACGGTTTCAGTGATGTGACGGAGGAACCTGGAACGCCAGATATATATGACGACGAGAAAGTGAGACCGTGGAGCCCGTGTCCGCCCACGGAATATACGCTCGATGATGGTCACACTTCCGATGAGCATTCGCCCGATATGGATCCTACTGAGGATCTTCCGCCTGTACCACCGCTCCCTGAGCTGAGTGCCCCTGTACGGGGGCCACTAAGCGATCGCCATGAGGGGGAGGAAGTCCCACATGAAGAGCCACCCGTTGAGACACCATTAAAATCTCCCGGGGTTGAGCGTCAAGAAAGAAAGGTCGTGCTGCCCGGAATGGTGCCTCCGCCCCTCCTGTTGGGAACGGACTCGCGCGATCGCTACGGGTTCCGAAAGGCTACCCATCATGTGACGCTTGCCCAGTGGGAGGCTTGGAACAGCTCATACTCCGACTTTGCCGCGAACCAGCGAATCAAGTGGGTGGAACTGCTCCGCCAACATCGGCTGCCGATCACAGATCCGATCTCCTTCCCGCCAAAATCAAACAAAGTCAAGAAGTTTGTGCGCAAGGGAATTCCTTCGGAGTATCGAGGAGCCGCCTGGTTCTTCTACGCTGGCGGGTATGAGCATCTGAACCGGAATCCCGGGCTCTACGACCAGCTTGTCCGGCAGGCCATGGATTCCCCAAGCAACGACGACAAGGAACACATTGAACGCGACTTACATCGGACGTTCCCGGATAACATCCACTTCAAACCTGAATCGGTCGAACAGTACGGAGGCTCCAGCGCTGGCGCTGGAAGCAGCAACCCGAAACACGAGTCCGTGACGGTTGAGACAGAGATGATCCAGTCGCTCCGGCGCGTGCTGTATGCATTCGCCGTGCACAACCCCCAGATCGGATATACGCAGTCGCTAAACTTCATCACGGGGTTGCTGCTGCTGTTCATGCCGGAAGAGAAGGCGTTTTGGATGCTGCACATTATCAGCTCGGTGTATCTCCCAAGCACGCACGAGATCAGCTTGGAGGGCGCTAACATCGACCTGTGGATTCTCATGGTGCTGCTCAAGGAGACGTCGCCACATGTGTACAACAAGATCGCTGGCGGGCTCGGTGGCGGCTCGCGGGCGCCCGCGCTGACGGTGACGTCGCGTCTGCCGGACATAACGCTCGGGCTGACGAACTGGCTGATGTCGGTGTTCATCGGGACGTTGCCCCTGGAGACCACACTGCGGGTGTGGGATGTGTTCTTCTACGAAGGGTCCAAGACGTTTTTCCGCGTGTCACTGGCCATCTTCAAGTCGTGCGAGCGAGAGATCATGGCAGTATCGGATCCAATGGAGGTATTCCAGGTGGTGCAGACAGTGCCGAAGAAGCTGCTGGACGCCAATACTCTGATGGACGACTGTTTCGTGCGACGACATCGGGTTGGACAAGGCCGCATCGACGAGCTGCGCGCCGCGCGACGGGCAGCAGTTCGACACGAGAACATGCGGCGGTCGCGGGCGTGGAACAAAGGGCAGATCCAGGCAGCGACAGACGAGTGGCCAGGACGATCGCGAACACCTATCCCAGGCATCGAGCGCAAGATCGGGGATTCGTGGCGACACATGCGGAACCATGCATTTCGGTAGGAGCTGAGGAGTGATGGTTGGCTTTTATTGATACCCCCAAGCAGCTTTATTGTATTTGAACCGGTCAGTCCACCGTTTACCTGGTCCGGACTATCTATTTGTACTCTGCGACCTCTTAATCTTAATAGACTCGCGGGTTTCAGGGCGCAGGCCGGATGGACTGACGACATGCCTGACGATGTTACATGTACATACTGCATATTAGCTTAGATATATGAGTGGCATTGATTCACATATTTCCATTTTCTAATGTTTCATCATTTACCATCATTTACATTCATTTGAGGTGACTTCAGGGAGAGGAATTAAGTTTGAGGATCCGTGGGGAGCCAACACAGCGGTCGAACCCGCCTCGATGACGCGCTCGAGCTGCAGTGCAACCCTCTCCTGCCCGGATTGTGACGTTGACTTTCTCTCCAGATAATGAGGTGTTTTTCACCTCTGAATCTCTCCTTTTTGGCACCTACAGCACGCAATCATGAGTGGCCAGGCATCCAGCTATTACAATGCTAACCAGAGCTTTGGCGATCAGCCTCAGCCTCAGCCACCGCAGCAGCAACAACAATATGCCTACTACAACTACAACCAAGCTCCCCAGCCAGCACCCAACCAACACAATGGCGGCGATTATCGAGGACCTGAACCAAAACCTCCTCAGGGACCCCCTCAGGGACCTCCACCAACCTACAACCAAGCCGTATATGGGTTTGACGAAGCTTTCCAAGTCGAGCGACCCAAATACAATGACATCTGGGCGGGACTTCTAGTAGGATAACCCGATTCATCCATACAAAGCTTCACAACTAAAACTGCTGGCAGTTCATCGCCGTGTTCCTCGGCTACGTGGCCGTGTCCGGTGTGACCATCCATCGCTATGCGAAATACAAAGGCTTCAGCGGCGGCGGCATCTATGATGCAACCAACGACTTCTCCCTTAACACCAACACCCTCGTGCTCTTCATCTTCGTCCTCTGCGTGGCTCTCGCCTTCTCGTATGCCTACTTCCTCGGTGCGCGGTACTTCTCCAAGCTCTTCATCTGGGTCACGGGCATCCTGAACATCGTCTTCGCCCTCGCCACCGGCATCTACTACATCGTCCGCGGACAATATGGTGGCGGCATCGTCTTCCTCATCTTCGGCGTCTTCGCTATCGTCTGCTTCATCAGCTGGATCCCCCGCATTCCCTTCACGGCCTACATGATGGAGGTTTCCATCGACGTCTCGCGCCAATACGGCCACATGTTCCTGGTGAGCACTATCGGCGGCCTAGTGGCGGTCGCCTTCGCCGCCTGGTTCTCCGTCACGCTCGTCTCCATCTACGTCGCCTACGAGCCCGATAGCACCGGCGTCAACCCGGCCTGCTCCAACGGCTCCGGCGGCTGCAGCACCGCCCGCGTCATTGGTCTAGTCGTCTACGTCACCTTCGCCATGTACTGGTTCAGCGAATGGCTCAAGAACACCGTGCACACCACCATCGCAGGCGTTTATGGCTCCTGGTACTTCTTCGCCAACTCACCCCAGGGCATGCCGCACGGTGCAACGCGCGGCGCCTTCCGGCGCGCCACCACCTACTCCTTCGGCAGCATCAGTTTCGGCTCACTCATCCTCGCCGTTATCCAAATGCTCCGGCAGGCGTGCTCCATCGCCCAGCAGCAGGAAGCCGCCCAGGGCAGCATTATCGGTAGCATTGGGTTCTGGGTTTTGGGCTGTTTCATCTCCTTGCTCGATTGGCTCGTTACGTTCTTTAACCGCTACGCTTTCTGCCATATCGCCCTGTACGGGAAAGCATATATCCCCTCTGCTAAGGATACGTGGAAGATGATGAAGGACCGTGGCGTGGATGCACTGGTCAATGATTGTCTGGTGGGGCCGGTGATAACGATGGGGTCGGTGTTCGTGTCGTACGTGTGTGCGCTACTGGCTTATCTGTACCTCCAGTTCACGAACCCGGGGTATAACCAAGGAGGCGATTTCACGGCGGTCATTATGGCGTTTGCGTTTGTCATTGGATTGCAGATCTGTCAGATCTTTATGACGCCGGTGAGTAGTGGCATTGAAACGATCTTTGCTGCTATGGCGTGGGATCCGCAGGTCCTGGTACATGATCATTCCGACATGTATTATCGCTTGGTGCAGTTGTATCCGAAGGTGCAGCAGGCGATTCATGCGTGATAGATAGATAGCAGTATGGTAGTGAGAATTTTGTGTTCTTGACAGTATCAACTTCAATTCAGATATAAAGAGAGAGAGAGAGACTATACTAAACTATACTAAATCATACTACACATATCATACTCATACTCATAACATAATCTCACCTCCCCTTTCCCATCTTTTCTCCCCCAACAAGATCATTCATGAAATAGACAGATCAAAGAACCAAACCCACCCCCACAACCCCACCGCAACCCCCATCAACAAACCCCCAACTCCTCCTACCCTACTCGCACCCCCCTCAAACAACGCCCCAGTTCCATTATTCACCCCATTCACCCCATCAACCCGACTCGCATCCACCCCACTAGGCATCGACATCACCACCGACGACGACGACACCACCGCTCCTGACGTCTCCGCCGCCTGCGTTCCAAAAAGCCTTGCTGATGTACCGGTAGCAGCAGCAGCAGCAGCAGCAGTAGCGGCAGTTCCACTCTCCATTCTCAACTCCGAGGCATGCGCATCCCCAGTAGCGGTTGCATGCTCACATGCACAGTCCGTCACTGTCTCCGTGTACATCTTGTATACTACGTTTGGGTTCGTGGCGTCTGTCATGTGCACCCCGTGATGCTCGGTTATAGTCGCCGGTGATTCGATGCGCGCTTCTGAGGTCTTGGTTTCGGTTTTGGTTTTGGTAGTCGCTTCGATGCGGTCCTCCGGGGAGTCTGAGGTGTCGTCTGTCGACTCGGTGGTGGTGGTTGTGTCGGATGAGGATGTGTCGGCGTTGGGGTCAGGGGTGGATGGTGCGTATGCGCGCTTTGAGGCTTTGTAGTAGTTGGAGTGTTTGGGTGTGAATATGTTGCCGCTGTTGCCGTTTCCATTACCATTACCATTCCCATTACCATTGCCATTTCCGTTGCCGTTGCCGTTGCCGTTGCCATTACCGTTTCCATTCCCATTTCCGTTGCCGTTGCCATTGCCATCTGTACTGGCACCAGAGCTGGTCGTATCAACCCGCATCATGGGACTACTTCCCTTGCGTGCGTCAATGGGGACGTCGGTGTCGCTGCATACGTAGTCGGGGATGTTGGATGGTGCTATCATCATCTCTGATTAGCATTATTCTCCCTATTCTCCCTATTTGCCCTTTTTTTTTTTTTTTTTTTTTTTTTTTTTTTTTTTTTTTTTTTTTTTTTTTTTTCACAGAACATAAAGGGGTAGGGGAGGGGGGAGAAAATAGACGTACAAACACCCTCACTCGCACAACTCTCCAAAGTCTTCCGACCCAGCGAGGACGGATCAAACGGTGCATTGCAGAAGCAGTCTAGTACTGAGGGGGAGGTACAATCTGCACTGCGGGAATAGGTTTCTGCGATGGAGGACTATAGCTCATTCGTTTATTAGTTGAGCTCAGTAGTCAAAATGATTGTACGTAAGTGAGAGGGGAGAATGGCTAAGTTATGGATGATGGGAATATACATACAGCACATTGCAAATACCCCAAGTCCCCATTAGTAGTAGTAGATGTAGCTGCCGCGAGGGAGAGTGTGGATAAGAAGAGGAGTTTATGCATCTTGATAAGAGTCGTTATTATTCTTCAGTACTGTATTCTTGGTGTTGAGTTGGTCGTTGAGATAGGTGAAGTTGTCGTGTCTCATACTCTCTCTATATATCTAAGACATTTTATTAAACTCGGAGTATTAATTTATTATTAAGTAGGTGGGTAGGTATAAGGGGTGGCAACATCCCTTGAATTCCAGTCCTGAGGCAATGATATCGGGGAAAAATTGTGTGTCGAATGATCGATGGAGTGGTGGAAGGTTTGGTCTGGAATGTGAGTTGGGTATGTATGAATGTATCATGTTGACTTTTGACGACACGGTACGGGTGGGAGGGAGGTATGTTTCGAATAGTACTTACTGGTGCTTGCTGGTTCGTGTTGTTATTATTCTGCGATCATCTATTTATTTGTTTGATTTGATGTTCGTGGAGGATGTTTGTGAGTTGAATTGGTGTTATAGATTGATTGGGGAAGGTAGAGAGTACTAGCGATATAACTAACCTGTTGTCATGAGATTAACAAACCCAACAGGCAATTGCCATACCCTTCTATTGATCAGCATCTGTTTAAATTAACTCTTTACTAACGCTTGACGGGGGCTGGTAGTGGAATTCTTATCACAATTTGGCTCTTGACTTCATCTACGAAATCCCTGCGAGTATCATGACATCAAGGAATGCAATCTACTTCAAACCATAGGTGTATAATCCATCTCATCCTACGAAATAGGACTATCAGTGGCACAACACCGAGTCAGGTTCACCACCATCCAAGCAATCCCCTTGACAACCATCGTCAGTCCGTGCACTACCACATTGAACCCCCAGAACAACACCCGCAAGCATCCCCATGTAATCCGCGGAAGCTCCTCGCCCTCCCGTGAGCCTTCCTGGTATCGCCCGTACTTGACCATGTCGAACTCCTCTATAATGGCTTTTTGGGCCTTCGGCTTCTTGGGTCCTTGTTTCCAAAAGTGGTACCACTTTCGACTATCAGATTTGGGCTGCGATGTTACCTTTGACCATAGCTGGCTACCTTCTTTAGCGTCTTCCTGCTCTGCTAGGGCAGTGATCAACTCCTCTCTAGGGGTTGATAAGGGGGAAGTCGAGGGCCGCCCCTGGTCATAAACCTTAAGTCCCTCAATAACAGGCCTTGTAGACTCATCAGACACCGCCACAGTCAGTAGCGCAGAAACGAGGCAATCAACAGCATACAACGACGGTATCGTCGCCACAATCGACCCTGTAGCTAGCGACAATGTCATAGTCCTCAGATCCAACGACGCCAAAGGCTCATCGGCATCTGTCAGTGGAAGCGTGGATGTGCGAGGCGTAGCCGCCATGGCGCCCGTCTCAACAGCGTTGGCTGGCAGAGGGGTAGTAACCAGAATGGTGGGTGGTTGGCTGCAATCCCCCTCCATGGACAGACTAGAAACTGTGATGTGTAGGACGCCGGAATATTTCGAGCGTACTGGCGACAGAGGAATGCCAGCAGCACCAACCAGCGCGGGAGGCTGCTGCTTGCACAGCGCGGGGTGGTGAAGCTCGTACACTCGCTTCGATTGGTTCCATAGCAATCTGCAGGATTCCTGAGCTGCTGCTCGCTTGAGTGTTTCTCCTTCTGCTTTGGTCGCCTCCACGGGTGAGAGGCGGAGCTCTTCTGCCACCTCTGCGGCTTGGTCTATCGCTAGGATGGCGGCGAGGCGCGGGAAGAGGATTGAAACCAGGCCATCGCAGGGAGGCTGGCGGCGAGATTTGTCTTCGAGTTTTAGGTTCATTACGGGGACGCTGCTGTCCTGTTTGGACGGATGTTTCCGGATGATCGATATGTCGTTTGCTGAAGTAGCCCTCAGTGTATAAAACGGTGATTTGGGGTCTCCGAAAGTAAGTGTATTGGCGTCGATCCTGTAGGGGTCAGATCTGCCATAGTAAATCTAGGACTGTACATACCGATCAACACACAGATTAAAGGTTCCAGGCAGGCTTTGTGGGCGTTGGCCGTTGGCAATTTCCCATAGACTCTGCAGCTCTTCCTGCGTAGAACATCTCTCCACTGGATCAAGCACACCGGCAGGAAAGTACAGCACGCTGGCGGGAACTGTCTTGGGTCCAAGGGCGCGATCTATCTCCGGAGGTGGTGTCTCTGTCTCAGACCTGGATAGTTCCCAGTGAGAATTGAAGGAAGGCTCAGGATAGTCGTGCTGCTGATTCATCGGATGGTCGTAGTTATATCGAGGGAATGTAGATTTCATTGGCACCACCGGAGCTGCCGCGGGTGAGCTGCTCTTGAGTGAAGCAGATCTGACCGAGTGTGAAGGAGAGCCAACTCTCTCTGCCGGCCGCTTGTGGCGGTCATGTCGTAGAGGAGATTTGGACGTCTCACGCTCTCGTATTGTGTCTGGAATGGATACTGGGTTCGACCTGGACATGGCCTTTGGCGGCGGTCTGATACTAGTATGGGTATCCTGAATAAGTTTGAAGATCACAGCTTCTGTCGGACTACTCTTGTCACGTATCTCCTCCATGGGTCGCATCTCTGTTTGTGTCTTTATGGCTGGCTTTTTCGGGACTCTTGGCAATTCCTTTAATGGTCTGCTATTCGAGGGTGATGGGAAGAGTTGGAACTGACTCATGGTCATGGACTTGCTCCTTAGTCACGTAAAATCAATGGGACTTGCGTCCTTGAAGCTAATACCTATTACTTCAATTAAGAAAGGAAAGGAAAGGTCAAGGGTGCTTCGTTTGAGTCTTGAACAACGGTGGTATAGTGCGGATATATAAGCTCACCTGTATAGACGCCCACCAACATCAAGCCCAGCTGGCGGGCACGGGCCCCGATCTGTCCATACTAATGGGTCAAAGCATAGTACATCGACGGCGGCAAGGGTCCAAACAAGAGAGGCTGCAGTAGCGTGAAGAATATGCACCGTAGTGGAAGAAACCTGATTGCTTGGGTCGGCGCTTAGCCTCGACTTCTCGCTGGATCGGACAGCGGGCACGGTGTGGCTGGACTCAGCCCGGCGCTTCGGACCATACCAACGATCATGATTCGGCGTAGGGAAGCGCTGAAGCTAATAACCAGTAACTGTGACTGGTTAGTGGTCGCAGGGTACGGTGACGAAAGGTGATGGACTCTATTTCTCTGTTTACTCGAAACATCACCTATCGGTGAAGCATAGTCGGTTACCGAAAAGGGAACAGCCCCGACGATATAGAGATAACAGGGTGACTTGACTCCCATAAACCCTCACAGCAGCAGCTTGAGTAGAAATTGTTATGCTATGTCATTGGCCATATTTCACATGTCCTGGCACTCAATAATATACACGGCACAGTCTATCATACAGTCTAATCGCTCATACTACATACCCTCATCATGAACACGGAATGTCAGCCCCTCGGCCATAGCAATCGCTCCCTCCATATTGCCCTTGTTGTACAAGAACAAGCCCTGTAAAGCAGCGGCGCTGGTGCTCTTCGTCCGATCAGCCTTGACGCCGTTCTCGTCCTCGATCAGCCCTAATTCTTGTAGCCGGTCGAGGAAGACCTGTCGATTGGTGCCACTCGGGTCAAGCTCTCCGTAGAACCGGTCCCAGAGACAGCCGACTTGATAGCGAGTCACTTCGCCCAGACGCACCGTCATGTCCACGCGACCCGGTCGGACTAGCGCCTCGTCAAGTCGTTCGACGTGGTTGGTGGTGAGGAAGATAATCCGTTCCTCGGCGCTTGCAACGCCATCCAGAGCATTCAGAAGACCCGAGAATGTAACATTGGCTCCACGATAACCGTCCTCGTCCGTTTGAGTCCGGCGATTCGAGAACGCAGCATCTACATCCTCGAGCAAAACCAGGGTTCGGTTTGGAACAATTGTCAGAAGGTGATTCAGCCGATCATCCGTCAGTCCCCGTTCGCTGAGGTTCAAGATGGCAATATCGTAGTCCAATTCGCCCGCCAAGGCTTGGATGAACGAACTCTTACCCGTTCCCGGGGGCCCGTAGAGGAGATAACCGCGGCGGTAGGGGATACCTCGGTCGTGATACCATTTGCCACTGCCCACGAAGTCCTGCACATCCTCCACAATTCGCTCTTTGACTCCTTCGTCGAGCACCACCGACTCCAACGGACGCTTCCGGCGCGGCTGTCCAAAAAGCTTCCATTCGGTGCCCCAGCTGTTGTATATAGATGTCTTGCCTTCGTGAGATTTGGCCGCATACGCATGCGCTTCAGTGAAGAGGTCCTCGAACACATGTCGATGCGAATAAAGCGTGGTCAGAGTGATGGTCTCCCACGGCCGGCCCGTGTGTAGGTCCTGAGACTTGGACTCTCGCATCCGGTTGACGAAGATGAACGCGTTCTTATAGCGCAAAACATGCCTTCCGGGTCCAGGTACCAGCGCGAAATGTGTATGTATCGCCCCATTGCTGTGCTCGACTTTTTGCGTTTGAATCGAGAGGTGGCGCATCCCGGGGGTCAGCCTCTGTAGTATGGACTCCATGAAACCAGACCTGCTGGCAGCGGAGCGGGCCGTATTAAGCTGCGATTGTTGGTATAGCGTCATCCAGTGAAGGAACCACGGGTAGGAGTCGTCCTTGATGCTGATTTCGACGTCGACAAGCATGCGCCGACGGAGGAGAGCGGCGCCATGGCGGAAGCCTTTTTGTGCAAGACTGACTCCGGCCCCCAGACCGGCAAGACCAAATCCCTATGAGTACAACTACCTGTTAGCGATTGGGTTTTGCAGCAGACATGGCTCCAACAGCTTGAGGAACTTACTGCGGTGAAGAAAGGATTGTTGGTTAGCTGGGAGAGAAGGCCTCCGTCGCCTGTAGGCTGCCCCGCTGCTTGGATGGCATCTTTCCGTTGCTGCGCAATCAGATCGCCAGGCGAAGGCAGCCCTGGAGTACTTGATGGTCCATTGGGGTCCATGCCAACAGAAGAACAATCATGCACCGCCACCTACAGTTGTCTGATTCCTTGAGCACATGTCCGCAATTGTTCCTGTCGGGGAGTCGGAGTTATGACGGGCCGAGATCGACTCGGGGTTTCACGGGCAATCGGAGAAGGAGAAGTCCTCGAGTGCTAAGACCTCTAAAACGAATGACCTTGGCTGCGTTGTCTACGCATCCCAGTCCAATAATATCACACCTTGGACTATCGTACATTAGGCGTCCGTAGACCCACGTAGTCTAAGCCCCAGATGTCTTCATGAAAGGCCACAACACAACCTATACGAGATAGGCAGAATATCGGCGATGTCATCACTCCGGCCCGGAGATAACGGGCTTTACACCGTCATCGCCGTTCCTCTTTTTTTATTCACCAAAAGGGGGACTGCGTTGAATCAAAGTCTGACATGGGCTGAAGCATGTTGAGTTATCGTATTTTCTGAGATCTACGGGCGGGAGTACCCATTTATTCTCATTGTTAAGGCAGCCGCCACCAAGCTTCGTATAAAACCTTCCCCGCCCTCGATTCTTGAAGATAATGCGAGCATTCCTGCGAGGCGTCTTTTGTTTCCGACAGGGCAGCACTTCTGGACCTAGATTGTCATCCCCACAGAGACGCAACATGAGCAAAGCTACTTCCGCAGCTTCAACGTCGGCAGCCCTCTATTCCCTAGCCGTTGTGCTCTCCCCAGCGTCTGAGGGACCTGAGGATGTTAAGGAGAAAGCTCACCATCTCAAAAATGGCTTTCAAAACCCCTGGGAGTATGTCATTTGTAGCGGTCGCATAAAATGATAGTATCTTGTTACTAACGTATTCCTGCAGCTCATGGCAATCTCCGACAGTTGGTAACGCTCTTCGCATGTGGGGGTAAGTTGCAAGTCTTTCCTAGATGTTTAGTATACAATTCTGACATCTGCATTGGAGGGGAATCATAACGGGGAAAATCAAGTTCCCGGACGTCACGCCTCCTACAGTGCCTGTTCAGCAGCCCAAGTTTCTGCCTGATCGGGAAACATCTGGTCTGCGGGCGACATGGCTTGGCCATGCTTGCTACTACGTCGAATTTCCCAATGGCCTACGAGTTCTGTTCGACCCGGTATTTGAGGACCGTTGCTCTCCGGTCTCCTTCATGGGCCCAAAGCGCTACACTGAGATGCCATGCCGCATCGAGGACATCCCAATTATCGATGCGGTTGTAATCTCCCACAACCATTACGATCATCTCTCTCATCCGACCGTCATGGAAATATCACGACGCCATCCCAATTGTCATTTCTTTGCACCCCTTGGCAATAAGGCGTGGTTCAGCAGCATTGGGATAGACAAAATGACTGAGCTCAATTGGTGGGACGAGCGAGACATTGTTCTTTCACCCTCGCATGAATCAGTCACCGAGGCCGGTGCCGGTGAGGGCCAGAGTTCAAACCAGTCTAACATCACAGCTCGCATCAGCTGCTTGCCTTCGCAGCATACAAGCAATCGGGGTGTGTTTGATCGATCAAAGACCCTGTGGGCGTCGTGGGGCATTGAAGCTGGAGGTCGGAAGCTGTGGTTTGCAGGGTATGTATGACTGCCTAGGAGATGCCTTTAATTATCTAACCAAGATGGTCATATAGAGACACAGGATATCGGAATGTGCCAATGCTTCCTGCCGGTACCGATGATCATGCTCCGGAGTACGATTTCCCCTCATGTCCCGCATTTAAACAAATTGGTCAATTCCGGGGGCCTTTTGACCTCGGATTGATCCCGATTGGCGCCTACTCACCCAGATGGTTTATGAGCCCTATGCATGCGGACCCTGATGATGCAGTGCAAATTTTCCGGGATACCAAATGCAAAAGAGCCATGGCTATTCATTGGGGAACTTGGGTCTTGACAGATGAAGATGTCCTTGAGCCACCAAAGAAACTGAAGGAGGCGCTCACCAAGTATGGCTATCCAGAGGTCGGGGCATTTGACGTTTGTGACATCGGCGAAAGTCGGGAATTCTAATGGTCATGTGCGCCTGGGAAAGTTTGGGGTACTTATTCTACTTACTTTAATATTGCTGTACGATAGCTGCATGTTGATCATTGTGCGTGCACCCGGATAGACGCTCACAACTCTATAATCCATACATATCTTTCTTCCCCTCACCGTCTTTTTTTTATACATGTGATGAGTCTCTAGATCAACCCTCCGAAATAGTCAATGCTCCTATCGAGTGCAAGGCCTCAAAAAGAGGCTCTGACCCATGTGATGGCACGGGCCTATTTACGGAGCGTGCCAGTGAATGACCCTGCACCAACAACGCGTTCAAGGTGCATACGGCGTTTCCCTTATTCCATTACTAGTCCGGGCAAACAAATATGATCGTACCCCCAGACCAGATGACCAATTGCAGCTGTTCTTTTTAAAAAGCTACTGGAGGCAATGACCCGTTTAGCAGTAAAGGTGATATGGGGAATGATCCGCTTCCCAAAAACTGAATTCACGTCAATAGGAGCCATATTTGTCTCAATTCTGCTGAATGACTCGAAGTTTCATCAGCTCAGTCGCCTCTATCCATCTCACTTATTTCATTTATCTCGTACATATATTTTTGGCCCCATCTCACCAACTGCTCAGCCTCTCATTTACCCGACCAGAACCCCATCCCCAGCGCGAGCTCTCACCACGTCAGCACACAACTAAAGATATCATGGCCATTATAATGCAGCAAAGCCCACAAGATGCCAGCTATTTCTGGCGAAGCAGTTCAGACACCTGGACGAGCAATCATGTATGGGAACCACAAGAGCGCAGACGCTCCATGGACGATGAAGAGGAAGTTCTCTACGAACTCGACGAAGTCGCCCTAGCACAACTACCACTGCATCTCCAACACAACATGCGTCAAATACAGCTGGAACGAATACGCAAACTACTGCACGACCGGGATCCGGACTTCGGGCTTGACCCCAGACCTGTACACCCTAATCCCTACGCGCAAACCTGGTTCAAGAACATGATGGCGCGACTCTCAGCAGACCAAGAGATGAATGAAGTCCACGAATGGCGCCAGTCAGTGCAGCTTGACGGCGAACCAGACGACACTACCTGGCCTCTGGTTCCACGGCAGTGGACAGGCAACAGACAGCACTATGATCGGAGAACCTGGCACTTTGATCATGCGACTTCGGGTGAAAATAGTTTCAACGCGTATTCGACAGGCAGCACACGTGTATGCAGTCTGCATGGTCTGGGGGTCAATGAGTTTGGATTCCGCCTATGCGAGTCTGGTTCACATGGTAGCAGAGACCAGAAGCAGGAGGTCGGAAAGGTCTCTTCGAAGCCTCGGAAGAGAAAATTGTCTCTTATTACGCATATGCGGGCTCATGTGCGTTTTCGGGTACGCAAGAGTGTTCAGAAGCTAAGCAAGATCCTGAAGAAGTGAACTAATTCCCCAACGTCGGGGTTGTGTCGTTGAATCAACTGAACATTTGGGGAAAAGTTTGGGTTTGTTTTCTTAGGAGTTTGGCGAAACGGGGCAAAGGGAATACCTGGATAGCGGGCGTTATGAAGCATCTGTGCAAGATGAGCCTTTTATTTTTTGCCTGATATGAATTACTCTTTAAGACCCAAAGGAAAGAAAGGGCGCGAACTATTCGATTCCATGGCATGCGATAATACTCTCCGTAGATAGATCAGGGGGAAAAGGATAGCACTAGACCCAAAGCAGAATGGTGGCGGTGAGCTCTTCTTGTCCGCAATCCCACTTCGAAAGGTGCGCTGGAAATTTGATGGGGACGGCGGGCAACAAAACAACTCCAGTTCCCCTCCACGAGCAGAAAGGCCCCTATCTTTGACCGCTTGTCGATCGGCTCCGGAGTTCACTCCATCTTTTCCTAGGAACCGTTTGAATTTCTCTCTTCCTTTTCCGACGCAAGTCAACAAACCACCGCCATCATGCAAGCACCGGTGGTGGTGATGAGTATGTCCCAATCGAGGGGAACTGCCCGGAACTTGGCTTCTGATTGCTAACACGGTTCTTTAGACACCAATGCTGGTGAGAGACAGGTTGGTCGTAAAGCCCAGCTGTCTAATATCGCTGCTGCGAAGACGTACGTGATTGATCCCCTCCCACTCTTCCCCGCTTCCGGCACTTCTGACACGGGGCCTGGCATTACAGTGTCGCGGATATTATTCGGTCATGTCTGGGACCCAAGGCTATGCTGAAGATGCTTCTCGACCCCATGGGCGGTATTGTTTTGACGAACGATGGACACGCTATTTTGAGAGAAATCGAGGTGTCGCACCCCGCTGCGAAGAGCATGATCGAGTTGAGTCGGACCCAGGACGAGGAAGTTGGTGATGGAACAACGACTGTTATCATTCTGGGTATGTGCTGGCTGAATTGTGCTTATCGCACGATGGACCTGATATTCTAAAGAGATGGATCGCTAACCTGTACCAGCTGGTGAGATGCTCGCTCAGGCCCTCCCCCAGCTCGAACGTAACATTCACCCCGTTGTCATCATCTCGGCTTTCAAGCGTGCTCTGGCCGACGCCCTTGCCATTGTGGAGGAAGTTTCGATACCCGTGGATATTGATGATGATAAGGCTATGTACACCCTCATTCAGTCGTCCATCGGCACGAAGTTCGTTTCCCGGTGGTCGGAGCTCATGTGCAGCCTCGCTCTGAAGGCGGTCCGGACCGTGTCTTTCGATGCTGGTGGTGGAAAGCGGGAGGTCGACATCAAGCGGTACGCTCGTGTTGAGAAGATTCCCGGTGGTCAGATTGAGGACAGTGAGGTTATCGACGGTGTCATGGTCAACAAGGACATCACCCACCCCAAGATGCGGAGGAGGATAGAGAACCCCCGTGTTCTGCTGCTCGACTGCCCGTTGGAATACAAGAAGGGTGAATCGCAGACGAACATCGAGATTACCAAGGAGGACGACTGGAACCGTATCCTGCAGATTGAAGAGGAACAGGTTAAGGCCATGTGCGATGCTATCATCGCCCTCAAGCCTGACGTTGTCATTACGGAGAAGGGTGTTTCAGGTATGGATTTAACTTCTATTTGCAGGCATTCGACTTGCTAACACTTCCCAGACCTTGCCCAGCACTACCTGGTGAAGGCCAACATCACCGCCCTCCGCCGTGTGAGAAAGACCGATAACAACCGTATCGCCAGAGCCACGGGTGCGACTATCGTGAACCGTGTCGACGACCTCCAGGAGTCCGACGTTGGAACTCAGTGCGGACTTTTCGAGATCGAGAAGATTGGCGACGAGTACTTCACCTTCCTCAGAAAGTGCCAGAACCCCAAGGCTTGCACTATCCTTCTCCGCGGCCCCTCCAAGGACATCATCAACGAGATCGAGCGGAACCTCCAGGACGCCATGGCCGTTGCCCGGAACGTCATCTTCCACCCCCGTCTTTCCCCCGGTGGTGGTGCTATTGAAATGGCTGTGTCTGTCAGGTTGAGCCAGTTGGCCAAGTCCATTGAGGGTGTCCAGCAATGGCCCTACAAGGCTGTTGCCGATGCCATGGAGGTTATCCCCAGAACGTTGGCACAGAACGCCGGTGCCAGCCCTATCCGTGTCCTCACCCGCATGAGGGCCAAGCACGTTGAGGGCCAGACCACATGGGGTCTGGACGGTGACTCCGGTGCCTTGGTGGACATGAAGGAGTATGGCGTCTGGGAGCCCGAGGCGGTTAAGCTTCAGAGCATCAAGACCGCTGTCGAGGTAAGCATAAGTACATCTTACTTTATATAAACTCACACTGACTCTCTTTCTCTCTAGTCCGCATGCTTGCTCCTCCGTGTCGACGATATCTGCAGTGGCAAGTCTGCTCAGCAGGCCGGTGCCGGTCTCGGTGTCGGTGGTGGAGATGATTAAATCAATTAAGACGAACCGAAATAAAACTGCGTACATAATGCTGCACGATTACCATTTGGACTTCTTGTATGAATATCCTAGACCAAAAATTACAATGGGTATCTTCATATCGTACAATTCTCTAGCCTCTGTAGGCCCCAATTCCTCTGCAGTCCGTATATATATCCCTCTTCCCTACTCAGTCATCATGAATAATCACTCCGGGCACTTCAGCAACCTCCTCAGGACCATTGCCATCCCCATTCTCAGTTCTGTCAGATTTATCCCCATCAGCACCACCCGCGACCTTCTTCCCCGTCTCGTCAACAGCCATCTTATCCCCCCCATTCGACGCACCACCCCCACTACCACCCTTCTTCCCCTTCTTCGCATTCCTCTTCTCCCTCTTCTTCCGATTTTTCTCCGTCTTTTCTTCATCCTTCCTCCGCGCTTCCTCCCGCTTCTGCTCCCACTCCTTATCCTCCTTCTCCTTATCGACCTCGCTCTGCATCAGTCGCTGCCGCTCATACTCCCTCCGCCGACTCGCCTTGTAGACATGGAACTCGCCCGACCCCGCACCAGCAGAGGAACCCTGGACGTTGGCGACAATCTCTGGCGGCGGCGGTAGCGATGTCGAGGTTCGTTGCTTGGAGGGGTCCGGAAGCTTAATTTCTTTTGTGGGGTCGCGGAAAAGCGACTCGATTTGCGTGGCGTGTTCGTCGAGTGCTGTCACGGCGCGGCGTTTGGTGGGACGTTTGCTGCGCGGGTCTGCGCTGGTAGGGATTGATTCGGGGCCGGGTTCGGACATTTTGGATGCGGTTGTTTGTGTATATTGATGGAGTGGGAGGGTAGAATGGCTGCGCTTGTCTAGAAGAGATTGGTGGGCCACTTGTTTGAGAGAGGAGGCTGATGTGAGAGTGTTTGTAGTTTTGTATAAGTAGGTGCAGAATGAGGAGCCAGTAGTAGTCTAGCTCGAGAATAGCAATTGCCGGGGGTGAAACCTGGGGCGGTGAGACGCGCCGTTGGGGTTGCTCTTATCGATCGATTGGCCGGGATTGGATCGCGGGCTGGTTCCATCAGCATGAACGCCGATTACTTTCCCAGTCGGGAACTCAGATGTATACAACTTGGACATGTGAGGAGTAGCCTGTCGGCCCGCCCATCTTGGTCATAAGGAGAATATATTGCTCCGAGATCTTGAAGATCATATTCAAGTGGTTATTAGTCTCTCGAATTATCTATAATTCATCAAGTTGAAGTAATTATAATCCTATCGGCCGCTGCATCAGGCTGTGGCACATGACAGGCCCTGGCTGTGCTTTTTCCCAGTATTGTTATCATCCTCCGGGATCTCCCACCTTCCCCTCAAACATCCTTTTCTTTCCTTAGGCTCGTATTGCATGCTCTAGTTGAAATCCATCGTATATTTACTTGTATGAGTATGTGCCTTCAAACCTCGCTTGGGGCTGCGTACTTCTCCATCATATCTCACTTGCTACCTTCTACCCCGCCAGCATGAATACGAGTGGCGTCCCCAACGCCCCGAACACGGGGACTTCACGTACTTTCCAGGTCAGCATTGAGTGGGCTACGGAGACTTCATTATCAGCCCGGAGTACCTAATGATTAATAGTTTGATCTCAACGATGTTTGCTGTTTGAAATCAAATCCATCTTTAACGGGTATTATTGTAGTATGGCCCCCGTTGATAGTATTGCAGCATGTGGGTCTTACTTTGCTAATATACAAGTACAGAGGACATATCTCGATGTACGTGTCTTCTACGGCCGATAACTTCAATATAACAATGGTTCAAATAGACTGACACGGCATGCCCAAGGTGTATCCGTTGGGACGACCGGAAGATGATTTAATGGTCTCATATACATCAGTGCCACAAGACGTCCTGACTGAGTACTTACAAACCGGTGTGGTAGGTCCTCAGGTACCATCAATGAGAAATTATGTCCACTAAACCCATCTTCTGTTGTAGCCACGCAAAGGATATGTCATTGTTCAGTTCAAATGGGTTTCGCAAGGGTGTTCTCTCATCGACGAGGATGATCTCGAACTTCTCGATCGGTGCATCAACTTCGGTAGCTATGTCAAGAGAATTTCGAACGACACAATGTGTGGCACGGTCATCGGTGCATCCGCGACGTGCACACTCGAGCCGATTGCGTATCGTAACTATGACGAGTCGTTGGGCGAATATGGTTCCGTTGAATTCAACGAACGGCTCATGCCTCGCAGCCTCAGAAGACCCGGGACCGATTCTTCGCGTCCTTCGCCAATACATGATGTGCCTTTGTCTGAGCTCATACATCATGAGCCGTTTATCAACGATGACTTGATCATTTACCATCAGAAACTGGGAATCATCCGGCAGGTCGACCGGGATGCTATTTTGCGTGTTTCCAACGTGCCTGTCTCGCTTGTTGATCCCAAGGACCTTGAAGTTCCCTGTCATTTCGATGACAATGAGCTCATATGGATGCCCAAGGGCCGGCCATGTAGAGTTGTGGACACTAACTTGCGATACATGGAGCATGACTACGTGATTCCAGGTCAGTATGTGTGTACGAAATACAAAAATATGCGCGGGACAAAAGGATGTATAGTTCCGAAGGACGATCCCCGTTCCTTTGGCCACGGCCATGTCCTGTCCACGCCAGCTACGGAGTATAAGGTGGAATGGCTTTGTACGAATGTTTTTGGTCTCGGAACATGTGAGATTCCGAATGGAATAGAGACTCTCCGAGCATCTGTCTTGGAACGCGATGCTGTGATATGCGACTTCGAGAATCTCTCGGCTGGAGGAACAGTGGAATCGGCGACCTCGCTTCAGATCGGTGATATGATACGTTTTCGAGATCCGAAAAGCGCCTTTCAAAAATACTCTTACCAACATATTCCTCCTGAAGAGACATTTGGTTATGACATGAACATCTTTCATATTACCTCAAGAAAGACAGCACTGACTGTCAGGTGGTTGGACGGGAGTGTCACCACCGAAGATATAAAATGCCTTCGTTGGGACCCCAGGCTTGATGAAAATATATGGCCCGGGAGCATCGTCGTCCTGAAGGATGGGATTGAGACCATGCATTGGCCCGGCTTGGAATCCACATCTGCATATATCCGGCAACTGCCTAGTCATAGGAGACACAGGGAATCAAAAATCCGAGCAAGAACAGTAGGTGTGGTCCAAGCTGTTAACATTCGAGAGCGAATAGTTACAGTCCGGTGGTATAATGATCCTTATCTTATACTCTTGCATGGCGGGCAGATCCTAGCTTCTCTCTACTCCAAGCTGGGCGAGCTGGGTGATAAAATCAGCCAAGTATCTCTGTATGAGCTCGACGCGTTTCCTTGTCTGGAAAGATCACATGGTGATATTGTACTTCTCGCCCCAGACACCATCCATACCTCGGTCTTGACAGAAGGGTCACTGAGTGCATACAACGTCGCTGGTCCTTGCACATTTAGTTATACATCGTCATTGTCACTTTCACAGATGCACTCATACCTCAAGGATATGAGTCTCGCCATGTTTCATTGGGAATGGTTCAAAAGCACGACTACAGTTGACACTTCTCCTCTTCCTCCGAGACACAGTCACCACTATCAGCGTAAGCTCAGTGAAAGATCCACTGCAGACTTCGTCGGCCAGATCATTGCAATTGATGTTAATGGTGAGATTACTGTTCGGCTAGCTGGTACTTGTCGTGACGTCCGCGTTCCGTTTGAAAGGATCATGATGGTCATGGATGGAGACTTCACCACTCCACTTGGGGTTCCAGCTCCAGGTGATCTCTCGACCATGTCAATGAACTCAGCTTATACCTATAAAGAAGAGGGTCCAGGAGTTGGTGATGAGGAGGGGCTTTTACATTTTGATGATGAAGAAGGGTTCTCGAGTGATGATGATGATGAGGATATGTCGGAGACGACGCTTCGAGAAGCCCTCCGCCGATATGTCTATGGTGAGGATGATATTCTACTTGATGAAGAAGAAGAATGGATTTCAGGTAATGACGAGGAGGAAGAGGAGGAAGCCATCTCAGGTAGTGATGTTGAAGATATGTCGGAGATCGAATGCGCTGTATATCGATATGTCAATTCTAGTTCTGCAGATGACGGCTATTCCGAAGATGCAGACATGAAGACAGAGAATGACTCCGACTTTGATATGAGAGATGCTTCGGATGGAGTAGTTGAACAGAGTGAGGAAATGACATTACCTCCAGGGTTCCTCATATTGGAAGGCCCCCCTCCCTCCGATCATCATTTTATCTCGAAGGATGAGGCAGGGGGCTCGGCCTTACGAATCAAGCGTATCCAAAAGGAGTGCGACATACTCGATGAATCACTCCCTCCAGGGATCTTTGTGCGAGCATGGGAGTCGAGGATGGACCTGCTCAGGGTTTTGTTCATTGGGCCGGAGGGGACCCCTTACCAATATGCGCCGATCCTGATAGACTTCCATTTCCCAGGGGACTTTCCTAGAAACCCACCTGAGGCATTCTTTCACTCGTGGATCGGCGGCCAAGGAAGGATCAATCCGAACCTCTACGAAGATGGTAAGATCTGTCTGAGCATTCTAGGAACATGGCCCACTCAGAACCCGGATGAAATGTGGTCAGCAACCAAGTCCACTATTTTACAGGTTCTGGTCTCGATTATGGGGTTGGTTCTTGTGCAAAGCCCCTTTTACAGTAAGTCAATATCCTGAGCTATGTGTACAACTCAATATCACAGATTAATCGTGCACCAGATGAGGCCGGGTATGAAGTTTTTGCTGCGGAGGGCGGTAGACGAGTCGAGTCAGACAAGTATACGGAAAAGACGTTCTTGACTACACGCAGATATATCAAGTATGCCCTAGATCATCAAGTAAGTGGCATGGAGGACATTGTGGATTGGAACTATTTGCCTAGTCGCTTGAATTCAGAAGACTGCAGCAGGCCACTCTTGCTCCGTCGCGCTATCGATACGGCATTGGCGATGATAGAGCATGAGGGGCATACCAGCAGTGGAGAGGAGCGCAGTGCCTCGGCGTTTGTCTCGCGTCTTAGCCTGGGGGCTGTGGTCATGCTGCGAAAGTATATCACGGAGCTTGAGGCTTTGGAGGTAGATGCGACTGCCAAACAATAGCCTCGACGTTGGAGAGTTATGCTGCAGACAGCCATAATGCTACTATCCTGTTGTTAATGGTCCATTGGAGGCCTTTGTCTTTATGTTTCCATGTCTATGATGCTTTAGTTCATGTTTGCGGAATCTTTGGGGAGTGTATGGTTGGAAAGCGTTTGAATAGTAGCTGGGTCAAAGTCACTAAGATATATGCTACAAATATGCACTACTTGATAATATTTGAAATAGTTCAGGTTAGGTATCTCTTAGCATTTGGGGTCAGTATAACGATATCCTTGACTGGAACTTTGCTAGTAGGATTGAAACTATAGCTAGTATTTATCCACAAATCAGGCGCTTAAAACGACCGTCACGGCATCAGCCGAACAAGAGAAACAGAAACTTGATGGTTGATAGAAAATTATATTCATAATTAAATAATTACGAGTAAATTGAGGAAGGATCAGACAATGAATGATCTGTAGAAGATAAGCAGAAGTAAACACAGTTAAGTAGGAGAAAGCAGAAAGCAGCACTGCGGCATTGGTCTTTGGCGTGTTCCGTTGGCAGCAGCGCCAGACCTTCGCTCTTCTTGCGCTCTGCTCTGTCCTTCCTCCCTCTTCTTTCTCCCCTCGCTTTTCTCTATTTATCCCCGTTTATCTCCCATCTTTCCCTTCTCTTCATTTCCATCTTTTCTGTGTTGTCTCGTCTCTGTTGTGTCGGGGAAATCCCATTCTAAGGTTATAAATACAACCCTTCGACCCCCGGGCGCGATCGCACCCATAAGTCTTGGTTCCCTCTCAGC